CTGACTCTTTTCTGTTTGGCCATTATTTGCTTTCTTCTGGTCCACTCCATTGATTTGAGTCCCAGTTTCCTTTTCACCGCTATTGGTTTCCTGTGCAATTCCATTCATTTCAATTAGTTTCGCCTTCATATGTTTCTCTAATTTGTGGCTATAATCAACCAGTTCTGTGAGGATCCTGATGACCAGTGTTTTAAACTGTGCGTCTGAGAGTTTTGCTATTTCTTCATCTCTTAGGTCTATGGGCTCAGGGACTGTGAGAATTTGTGACATTTTTGGTCTGTTCTGGCCTTAAGTGTGAGAAGCACGCCTGACTCCCAGGTCGCTGGGTTGTGACACTGTGGGGCTTGGAGCGGGAAATAGCGCCCTCCTGCCCCGCCGCCCGCCCGGCGCCGGGCCCAACCGCCCACTCCCTCGCCTGTCCGCTCGCGCACAAACAGGCGACCACAGTCAACATGCAGTACCGCTTCCCTGCTTTCTCCTCCACGGTCGTTCGCCTGGTCACTCGCTTGGTCGCTCACTAGGTCCAACCCTGCGCCTGGATTCCGCGTCTGGACTCCGCGCCTGAGCCCTTCTGACTGAGTCCTCCTGTGCAACCCCGCTCCAGCAGCTACTGGTTTCGCCCCTTACCGGTCAGGCTGAAGAATTTGTTGTTAATGGACTTCCGAAAAGTTCAATTTTCCATGTTTTGGCTGTGATTTCTGTTGCTAATATTTAGTTGTCCCTAAACTTAGTTGTGTGAGAAGGCACGGCACATCTACCTATACCTCCATCTTGGCGGAAGTCCTCAGTGGCTCGTATTAATGCCAGTCAAGTCTGGTCAAGTTATGGCTGATATTATGAATATTATTTCATTATCTCTTACCAACCATGCTCTGTTTTTTTATTGGAGTCATAGTTACTCCTGCCATTTACCCATACTTCACTGAATTTCTTCACTTTGACATTCAGAGCACTGGGCAGAAATCACATCACGTCAATACCTGCCACAGGCCTTTGGGTAACAATCATGTTTTATAACTTATCGTTGTAACAACAGGACTTTATAGGTCAACACTGACGGCTTTATAGTGTTTAAGTGACTTTTATCCAGGTCACTGAAAGATGCAGTTCGTTCTTTCTGTTGCAGGGTTAGTTATAGTTTATGGACGGGGCCACTGTGAGCCCCCAGAGGACGCTTGTGAAATTGGGAAAAGAAGCCCTCTCCACCCCTGATGCCTGCGGCCGTGCAGGGGCATGCAGACTGGGCTCAGCTCTCCCTCCCCCCCTCAGCAGGGCACCCTGGTGCGGTGAGAAATCTGCGTGGCTGTATCCCGCACCCCTGTTTACCGAGGACCTTCTCACGTCACACCCCACGTTGGGTAATTACACACATTATCATCTCGGCCAATTCCCCTAACAAGCCTGAAAGGCAAACATAATATCCTCATTTTACAGATGAGAACACTGAGGTTCAGAGAGGTTGGGAACTTGTCTACAACGCACAGTTGTGGAAATGATGGACTCAGGATTCACACCCAGCATCAGAACAGTCTGGGAAGCTCCGCTCCAGCCCAGGAGGAGGGAGGTCAGACGAATTCAAACACTGCACTTCCCTCCTCAGTGAGGGGTGAAAATGTTCTGAAGGCTATGCAGTCCCGCGTCTGCAAGGAAATGTTAGTGGCGATTGCAGACTTCATCACTGAGTTCTCTGGTTTGAAACCACCACTGTTGTCCAGCCTTTTCATTTACTTATTCTGAATGTTCTTTTCTGAGTAGACTGAGAAAGATACCAGTACTAGAATGAATGGAATTGCCTTACTTGTCTGTCTCTCCACCATAGTCTCTTCCTTGCTAAAGCCATCATGTGGAGTGTAAGACTGGTGGCAGCTAACACTGATTGTCACCTGGGGGGTGCCACTCGCTGTGCTGGTGCTTCCCAGGTGTCACTGTGTAATCCTCACGACAGCTCTGCAGGTGATGAAACTTAGGCGCCAAGAAGCTTTGTAAGACTAGTAAGTGGAGGAGACAGGATTCAAACCCCACTACAAGTGTCATTTTCAAGGTGAGAAGACCTCTGTCCTCTCTTTTAGTTAATCAACATAAGTACAAAATGAATCTGTCACTACTCTTTGAGCATTTTTCTCATTTTTTTGGTGATCATTTTAAAGGTGGTTTAGCTCCTTTGGGCTACTCCAGGAAAACATTAGAGAGAGTGATATTCTTTAGTAACATTCCCCAGCTTGGGGACTATTTTCAGGTTGTGCTATAAAAATACCACGCTTTAAGGATGTTTGCCTACATCGGGTATACCGTTAAGATGAGGAAAACTACACAAGAATGGAAATTGGTACTGTGATCATGGGCGTGAATATTCTACTTACGGTAAAAACTGATGGGTCCCTTGGACACTTAAGCTTGAGATTTGGGGGAAAAGCTTGACTTAGACTGATAGCATAATATATTTTTCAAAAATGTAGAATCGTGTGGCTATGATTTGGGTGTCAACACATTTCCCCCACTGCTTTCTGCTCTGGAAGAATGATGTTTTTAGGGCACGCCCAGAGCTGGAACAGCTGGGGTGAGCTGGCCAAGCTGATCACTGTCATGACTATTTCACCAGAAAAAACGATTTGGCAGATGTCTGTGATTCGTTTACTAACACATTTCCCTGTTAATTCCCTAGGGCAGTCATCACCAGAACATCCATTGTGTGATATATAAGTGAATTGTCTTGTCATAACAAATTTCTTTATAGGCCTGAGAAATCACTTGGGTTAAGTTACCTGGCGTGCTGTTAATCTGAAAGCCTCGTTCACGATGAGGCCAGAGGGAGCTGCAGGGTAGTTCTCCTTCCAGTTCTGTCACTCGGACCCCTGGGGCCTGCAGCCTGTGCCCTTAATCTCACAAAATCCTTCCTAAACGCTGCTTCTCCAGCCTCAGGCTCTGATTCAGCTCCTGTCCAGGAGGCAGGCTGGGAAGTGACTTGGTGTGAATAAATGTATTAAGAAGAGAAACAGTTGGAAGTGAGTTGAATTAACCATAACACGTAAACCAAGGAAGCGAAGAAGCATTTTGAAAACAAAATATGTTCACCCCAAGTCATAGCTTAGTATATGGCCCAGTTCATTTAAGCAGATGTTCTTGTTATATGTACATGTGACAATATAGACATAGCCCAGATTACCACATAATTACTATTTTAAATAATTCTGGGTATACAATTAATGAATGGAAAGGAAATGTGACTATGTACGGGAGAGGGTGGGGGTGACGGGGAAGGAACAAAAAGAGCTAAGCCTTTATTTTGTATGGTGGGAGTTTAATGGAAATGCCCACTGAAAAATCATGAAACAGCGATTCATGTAGAGATACAGAAAAAATGTCCCTCCCGAATAGGTAACAGAATGAAAATATTTGCTCCCAGAGAAGGGGAGGCAGTTGTACACCTTACCTTTATATAAGCACACAGTTCTTACTATATGCAAGTATAGCTAGGATAAGAGGTAACTTAGGGAAAGCTGCAAAAAGAAAAACCATTTTTGGGAAAGAATATAGAAGGAGAACTATATCCCCTAGGGGCCCGTTTTAATGTGCTGGTTTATTTTCTGCCCGTAGCTCCCCCTCCATTTGCGGTTTGCTTTTCCTGTCTCCCTCCCTCCCTTCCGTTCAGCATCCACACACACAATATATACCTATAGTTATATATGAAATTGATAGCTGGCTGCTTGGGCTCTTAATTGTACAGCAGAACTTGTGCTAATAAACATTTTATATGCATTATTTCATTTGATGAATGCAGCCGTGAGTGCTAATATCTTAACATATATCAGAATTATTTTCTTATTTTAGCATATGGCTTTCATGGTCATCTTTTTTCATGGTACAGTACTCCTTCACCCAGTGGAATATTTATCTTCCCCCCCAGTTTTAGACTTTGAAGTTGTTTTCCAGCTTTTGCCATTGTAAAGAGTACTGGGATGATGTACTTTGCCCCAAAGCATTTTCCTGACATTTATGCTTTCAGGATAAGTTTCCAGAAGTAGGGTCAGTGGGTCAGAATATAAACACGTCACCACGTTGGTTTTCCCACCCGCTGTTTGAGGTGCGGTGGTGGCGGCTCACCTGCATCTGAGACAGGTGGGAGGGACAGAGTCACAGCAGTTTCACAGCTGTGATCCCGGGGAACGATTCCCCAGGTCACACGGCTGGAGGAAGAGCCGTGGTTAAAATGCGTGTTTGCCAACTCTCTCTCGATCTCTCTTCCCACTTCACCCCGAAAACAAAATGAAACTCTCTGGCTGCATGGAACACGCCACCTTCCTTCTCGACATCTCAGTCTTTACCTGGTGGGGCTTCCCTGTCACGGGGCCTCTTCCTTTCACTGAGGGTCATCTTGCTTTAGGAGGAAAGAGGCATTTCAGGCAGCCCCAGGACCACTCATGGGGACATCTTCAACCACGGCTACGGAAGGGTGGAACAGGGACCAGAACGTGAGAAAACAAAATACACTTAAGCAGAATATGAGACGGGAGCCATTAGAATGTGCATGAGCAAACAGGGAAGAAAACGCTGTGGTTTTGGAGGACCTTAATGTTTAAGGTGAGGTGTCAGAGCTGAAGACAGCAGAGAGATGGAGTTAGGGAGTGTGTCCAGGTCATGGCGTGGCCTTGCTGTATACTCAGTGTCCCCAGCACTGTCCTAAACTGGTCCATCTACTTCTTTTTTCTAAAGGTTTTATTTATTTATCTTTAGAGGGGAAGGGAAGGAGAGAGGGAGAGAAATATCAATGTATGGTTGCTTCTCATGCGTCCCCTGCTGGAAAGTGGCCTGCAACCCAGGCATGTGCCCTGACTGGGAATCGAGCCATGGTTGTTTGGTTCACAGGCCCGCGCCCAGTCAATCTACTTCTTGATAGCAATGTGCATTGTCAAGATGGAAACCAAACAATAATGTCTATTTTCATTTTATTTTTCAAATGAATGACCAACAAGTAACTTCATATATGTATTTTCTAACCACAGAAGAGAGTGAGTCCGGCTTTGTCCAACCCAAAACGCTTATACTGGGAAGAGAAGCTACTATTTACGACACGGCACAAAAGGAAAGCCTTCCTCCCCTAGAGAAGCTCAAGATTTCATCAGTGTCTACAGCTAATGGTGTTAAATCCTTCCATGGACAGCCCCTGGCACAGGATGCTGCAGACCCACCAGGAGCCACAGAGAAGACTCAGGCTCTGGAGGGACCCGGGGAGTCCGGGCCACTTCAGCCAGGTGGCACACATGATACTCAAAAAGCAGAAGAAAAGAAAGATGTGGAAATGGGGACAGGAGCCCAGCCTTCAGAAGGAAGTGCTGAGACTGAACCTCTAGTGGGGGAAGCCCAGAGTCAGCCTATGAGAACAGCAGGAGGGACGGCCTCCGCTGGAGTAGTGGGTGATGCTGAGATTCCGCTAACTGTCGGAGAGGTGCAACCTTTAAGAATAGCTGAAAAAATGCCACCTCTGGAAGCAGGTAGAGAGCCACAACCTCAGGAAGCGATGGGAAAGCCCCCGCTCCTAGAAACTGTTCCCAAGGAGACTGAAGCTCCAGAAATTTTGGAAGGAAGTCAGCTTGTTGAAACAACTGAAGAGCACGAAGTTCAAGAACCACTGGGAAGAGATGAGCAGTCCCAACTTCTAAAGACAATGCCCAGAGAGAAAGGATTTATGAAAATACTGGAAGGAAGTCAGCTTGTGAAAACAGCTGTAAAGAATGATTTGATTCATAAAACTCCTGAACGTCCAGAAAACATGGAACAGATTAAACCTGAAGGAGTAGTCGGGAGCTCGGAGCATCCAGCAGTAATGCTAGGAGCAGACACCGACATGGAAACGGTCGGGAAAATCCACACAGACAAAGAGGACCACCACATCGAAGGTAAGGGTTATGCTGTTGATGGTTCAGGGTGTTCCGGGGGCTCCAGAAGAGATCCCCTCTGGGGACAGGGGGTGGCTAACATATCGCCAATGAAGTCTCTGTCACAGGTGGCTAAAGTTCATTTGGCCCAAACCAGAAAGGCTTTCATACCTGGAAAACAGGTGTTTGGCTTTCCAGCAAAATTTTCTAAAGCAGAGTCTGTGTCCACATTTTTAACCTAGAGTCTCATCATTGAATAGAACTGAATATGTTCTGCATAATAGAAGGCAACGTGTTAAAATTTCTGAATTTTTCCAAGTTCATTTCTGTTGAGCCCCATGCATGATTATGAAGGTCCAAAGTAAAGATGAGTAGATGGTTAGTGGGGGAATTGTCCTTCTAATGATAGACTGCACACTAATGGATCTTATCCTTAGAAAGTCACTGTCAGTCTGCACCTGTCCTGCAGTCTGTTCACCATTAAGAAAAGACTAGAGAAAATGTATTGTGTTGGCATATGGTGTTGTTGAAATGTGCTTTACCAGCCTGAAACAAGTGGTGGCTACACTGTTCATTATTGACATATAATAAAAAATGACATTTTAAATTTATTTCTTCTGGAGCATGATTCACACTTTGGCAAATTCTAGCTTTACACTATAATTAAGTGAAGCATCTATCCATCTGTTTCTTAATTCTTTCATTTATTAACATGGCAGTGTTGGTGTGCTTCATCATATGCCGGATGCTAGGGTGCAGAAGGAGTAAGACATAGCTCCTGTCCTCAAGGGGGTCACAGGCTAGTGGGGAGAAGGTGGAATTTAACCAATCCAGCGAAGTAAGCACTTGAAGTGAGGTATGTAAAGGTACTGTGGGAATCACAGGGGAGACACAAGAAAACGCACATATTTGTTAGACCAGGGTTGGCAAACCCAAGTCTGTAGGGCCTAGGATAATGACAGGGAGTGAAGTCAGGGGCCCAAGGAATGTCGAGCGGAGCCCAGGGGGACCTTGGTGACTAGGAGTATGGTCCCATCAAAAGAGGTGGCTGCTGCTTGGCTGCACCCATGAGCTTGGGGGCCAACACTGTCCAAATTTGGACTCGTTGCCATAGGCAACTCAGAGGATCTGAGAGAACCAACCCAAAACCACCAGAAAAACTTACTCTTTAGACCTAAACATTAAGAGCTGTCCCCATTGGGAACCAGCCATGGGTACTCCATTGTCAATGCTACAGAGCATCTCTTAACATCTCCTTTGGTCACTTTTTCAGGTGAGACAGGAGAAAGGGTTGAAACGGAGAGGGAGAAAGTAAGTGAAGGAGCTGAAACACAAGAAGAGGAAACCGGAGAAGCCGTGGACCTTTCCCAGCCACAGAGATCGGTGTGGTGAGAGAAGGGTGATGGACCCGAGCGTTATCACAGAGGGCAGGAAGGTGGCGTGAGGCTGTGGTTACAGAGCTTAGCTTTCAAGGTCTGTGTGTTCTATACGAGTGTGGTTATCATGTTCTTGATTACATTGCTCCATAAAACGACTTAGCTGTAAACTGATTTTTTAGCTGCTTAGAATATACTTTTAAAAAGACAATAGCCAGAGCCAAGAACAACTATGGTTTATGAGACTGTAGGAGTTGGAGGGTGTTTTCTTCACTGAGCCGTGGGTCCATTCAGTATAGAAAATGAAACCCAAAATGAAAGAATAAACCTTTAGGTGTAGGTGGCTAAAGGAGGGAGTTAGTAAGTTTTAGGGAGCTCAGGATAATGAAGTCACACAGTTATAATTACTATGGAATGAGAACAGCAAAATGGGGCAAGCTCTACCTGGGATGTCTTTCCTAGCACAGAATTTAAAGCTAGTAAAACCTTAGCAAGTATGTCATCGAATTACCTTCTCCCTTAAAGTCTATCTATTCATCACGTTAAATACGTTAACAAAATCCTTGTCAAAGGAACTCACACTCTGGTGCTGCTGCAAGATCAGACATTGCCCCAGGGAAAGGCTACACGTTTTCCATGTGCCATTTTGAATCTGGTGATTTTACCCTCAAGTGAGGTGTTTCAATGACTGGGACCCTTTTGGCATTGAAGTTATGCCAAAGTAAAGTGATTGACTTTAAAGTAATTGATTTTTAAATGTGTTTCAAAGGCAACAAAGAGCAAGAATGAAAACAGGCTTGTTGCCCCTGTAGAGTTATTCTTTGGGCCCAATTCTTTTTTAGATTATTGTGATTTAATATTAGGCTATGGAGGTGGAAAGCAGCTAAGAAATCAAGATTTTAAAACCATTTACAATACTTCGTTAACATTAGCTGATGCGCTGTAATAGAAACTCACTTTTAGAGAATCTTTCCAAAGTTGCCAGGGGTTTTGGTAAGTGCTTATATGTGAATAAAAGTAATAGCAACCTTGCCCACCACTGAGTGCCTCTGTGTATGAATATCAGGATAGAGATATATTCTGGAAGCATTTGGTTTCTTTACCTTATTTGTAAATATATCATCTTTTTAAAAGATTATTGCTCAGCTTCTGAATTAAAATGATTACTAAGATGAACTGTAATTAAGAATATAGGGTATAGTTGGAAGAATTATCATTTTTATCCTGAGTTTAATAGTAATTCGTGTTTCTGACTTTGAAGAGTTGAGGTGGCCAGCAAGCATGGCGGCTCGAGTAGCTGACATCATTCCTTCTGCTGCAAGGAGAAGCTGGATTGTGATTTCATTGAGAGCAAGGACTGTTGTGTGTATCAGTGTGTTCAGGCATGTAGCCCCTTTACAGACCATGAGAGGTGCTTAATAAATATTTGTTGAATCAGTGAATGCATAATGAATACCAAAGGCTCCCATTTACATTTACTTCATCACCAAAGGATATATTTCAAATACACATTGAGATAACGCTCACATTTTCCCACCAAGGCTACTCAAGCTCAATAACAAGCTATATATTTGGTGTAGTTCTGAAAAGAGCAATGTTTTTAGGTCAGAAAGTAACACAAAGCAGAACTGATGTAGCATCTTTGAAGTTACATTTTGTAATCCAAACTTGTTTTTTCCTGACCAAAAGGTATTTTTATAGAGATATCTAGTAAGTAGACCGTGTCAGAGCTTAGTGTAAAATGTGAATGATCACCTTAAAAAGTGGAATTATACGTTTATCAAGTACTGAAAGAGTAGGTAAGATTCATTTACTTCAGAGGCATAAAGCTTTCTCCATCGTGTGGATTTTTTTCAGTATCTGACATATGTTAGAGACCTGTTTGGAATTCATGCTTGAAACAACTCTTTCTCAAGAACATTGTTATATAGTTGTAATGTAAAAGTTTTCAATTTTTTTATTAATCCCATTATTTTCTATTGATGACTAAAATCATTCTCAGGCAAAATGGAAATTTGTATAAATTTGTGGTACTTTCTACACTTTTACCTTTGGCCTTTAATATGGTTACTAACACCTTGTTTAGAAACTGTTCTTATTCTTTTAGATAATATTAAGTTTTTACTCAAAACTTACAAGGAAAATTAAAATGTTCATGCTATTTGAATATTCCAAAATTGAAATATTCCAGCTAAATAATGTTAATTAATTTTAAAAACAAAATTAAACTAATAAATTTCTATAGTAAAACTCAAATAATACAGAAATGTATAAAATAAGCAGTGAACTTCTCCCTCCTATATCCCTTAGTTTTTCTACACAAAGATAATGAAAAGTTTCTCATGTATACTTCCATAAGAAGGTAATGTCTATGCCAGGCTATATGTATATGCTAAAATAGAAGTGTGTATTTACATACCCACATTTAAAGACACAAATGACAATTTACTAGCCCTTGTGTTATAAAAAGTGCATGTAAAATCACTGATCTATCCTTTCCTGTGTTAGATAGTTTTTCTTTGGCCCAAGACTGATAAACTTAGCATAGCAAAGTGCATTCTGATACTACGTCCCCAGTGTCTGAGAAGAGATTATCATTTTTGCCACCAGATTAAAAATGTACAAGTTGGAAAGAAGGCTTGAGCTGTTTATAATGAATTAATACAAAAACTACCATCAGGGTTGGGTTTTCTAATCCTGGGTGCTCTATAGCCACTTTGTAGCCCAGTTTGTATTCTAGTAAGATAATTTCAGTATTTTCTATTCCTAACTAGAGGGTCAAATGGTGAACAAATGATCTGCTAGCTAGCATCCCAGCAGGGACGTGTGGATGTACCAGCAGAGGGTGCAGCTGCAAACTCAGCTCCCTAGTCCACACTCCAAAACTCTTGGCCAGAAGTGCTCTGCATCTGGCCTCCTGGGGGACCCACAGGAATGCAGCATGTGCTCAGTCTGTGACCACATTGTTTTTCTCATTTAGACTTTGGTGTAAGAACTCCTGGGATAGCTAATAGCTTTTGAGCAGTCAAAACACCCTTACCTCTTTTCTGTTTTTTTAATCCTCACCCGAGGATATTTTTTCACTGCTTTTTAGAGAGAGAGGAAGGGAGAGAGGAATAAAGAGAGATGAACATTGATGTGAGAGGGAAACATTGATCAGTTGCCTCCATACACGCCTGGACCAGGGATGGAACCACAAACTTTCGGTTACGGGATGACGCACCAACCAGCTGAGCCACACCAGCCAGGGTCACTTTTAACAACAACTTTATTCCACACTTGGCCTTGGATTTAAAATGGCTTTTCAAGGAAAATATCTTTTTCGCATCTAACTAATCAAAGAGTGCTGGATCGTCATGGTCAAATAACCATAGTAGAATTTACATCTGTGCTCTTTTGGAAAATGCAGTGTCAGAACATTTAACATTATGAGCATCTGAGTTTCATAATTTGGTGATGCAGTTAATTCTGAATTGTTCCACAAAAGCCACCATAAACCCATTCATGTAGTCCACACACATCTGTAAGGTAAAAGGAGAACCATCTTCTCCTCTTTCTTTCCTCACGCCAAACAGCAAGGCATGGCTGTGTCTGAACATTTGAAAGCATTTACTTACAGGCTGTCTTTTAATCTAAATCTGTCAGCTCCTCTCCTCCCCAGAGCTTACAAAGTTAATGAGCATTTGGCTATAATCTCAAGGTTTAGTCGCAGAGACAGAATCAGTGTAATTTCAGAGAGCAGCTGATAGGTGTGGAATTGCTCTTCTGAGTTTTTGTTACTATCAACAAGTTAGGGAACTCCCTGGTATTACTACAGAATACAATTGTAGGCCTTTAGCTTTACCTCAGCAGTACCACTCGGCTAATTTATCAAACAATATTTCAGATATTGCAAGCTAACAATAATAGTACCATTTCTGCACCTAATTAATGAAGTCTCCAGACATCAAATCCAGGCTTTACTAACTTTTTTTTTTAAAGATTTTATTTATTTATCTTTAGAGAGGAAGGGAAGGAGAGAAGGAAAGAAACATCAACGTGTGGTTGCCTCTCGTGAGTCCCCTGCCAGGAACTGGCCTGCAACCCAGGAATGTGCCCTGAGTGTGGTTTGCAGGCCCACACTCAATCCACTGAGCTATGCCAGACAGGGCTAGGCTTTACTAACTTTTGAAGGTGGAAGAAGGACCAGTCCATATTCAATTAATCTAAGTTACCCTTTCAGTTTAATACTGTGCCACTGTCCTCAATAAACACACTCTACTCTCAGCTGTTGGGAGCAGAGATCTGCAAGCCTTAACAGTTTCTACAAAAAAGAATTCTGAGAAACCATCAAGGGATACTAATTTTGGTTTGACATCTGCCTTTTTTTTCTTGTAGAATATAGATAGTTCTCAAATTTTTCTTAGTAACTGTAGTTGGCCCTGGCCAGGTAGCCGAATTGATTGGAGTGTCATCCCAACATGCCAAGGTTGCAGGTTCGATCCCCAGTCAGGGCACATACAAGAAGCAACCGTTTCAGTGTGAGGGCAAACTAATAGTTTATATCAACCAGTAGTTATTTAGTGGATCAGTATGGATTTGCTTCAAGTTTTCTGGATATCACAATTTGGTTAAAAAGCTTTTTGATAAAAATAACACTGCTTTTATCTAAGTACTTGAGTGTGGCTACAGTGATTATTTAGGTAATAATTGCAAAGAAGGACTCCTTTATTATTAAGATAATTTTTCTTAGTATAAAATGAGCACATGTTCATGGTATAAACTTCAGAAAATATAGACCCTAAAAGGTGAAATCTAAGTATTACATGTAATTCAATAAAAACCATGTTGATGTATATGAGGGGTGATTATTTATAGTGTTGCAATAACAAGTTAGCCAAAGCACAACTATTAGCAGGACTTTGTCTATTACTCTGAGAACAGGGCTTCTGGATTTGCCTCACAGGAGCCTACTGGGGTGAGCAGGTTAGAGAGAATGTTCCAGTAAAACTTGCTATGTAGTAAATATTGGTTAGTGTTACAGAGAGAGTGACTATGCCCAATTTTACTAGCACTTAGCTGATGACAATTGCTGATAAGCTTTTGATATCTTAGGATAAAACACAGAGTAAATATTTTATTTGGCATTATTTTAAATATTTTTGAATTGTTGACCAAATGCTAGAAAAAAGATTGTGAGCTCTTCAGAGTGCAGGAAAGTGCCTTACAGGACTCAGGACATATTTGTTGGTCTGTAAAGATTTGTTGATGACGAATGCTCTTTATTCTCATGTAATCATGAAACTTTCCTTAGTACTGAATATAATTGGCTGTAGGGGAAAATATGGCCAAAATCCTTACTTTGTACTTTTGTACTTTGTACTTCTGGTTCCATATTTATGATTTTGATTGAATAAACATAAGTAATAAAAATGTTTGAAAGCTTTTCTCAGTATATATATATTTTTAAATTTATTTATCTTTAGAGGGGAAGGAGAGAGGGAGAGAAACATCAATGTATGGTTGCCTGTAGTGCATCCCCTGCAGGGAACTGGCCTGCAGGGAACCTGCCTGCAACCCAGGCATGTGCCCTGACTGGGAATCGAACTGCGATCCTCTGGTTCACAGGCCCGTGCTCAATCCACTGAGCTACACCAGCCAGGGCTCTCAGTATATTTTTAATCTGAGTTTATTACAGAACATCTGAAATTACTTCTGACTTATTGTGTCCTTCCAGAAAAAGCATTCTTCACACTTCACATTGTCAAAGATAAAGAATATGACCACAGCAGGAAAATACAGGTGACTGTTTTTAGACATCTCATCATTTCTGTAATGGTAACACACTTCACAGAGATAGCTCTTTCTGTATGCTTGAAAGGCTAACAGAAGTGCTCCTTTTCACAGGTAACAAAATCTAGTGATTCTCCTTTAGTGTGGAGAGAAGATTCAAAACCCCAATCCAGCCACTAATGAGTCAACTAACCTGGGTACCAGCATTTTATTTCCAGCTCCTTAGGGCTCACGTTTGAAGTCATGACCTATCTATAACTATGTCCCTTTTGCCCAGCCAAGACAGAGTTATCTAATTTCCTGGCTCCAGTCGTTGATTTAGGAATGGGTCCCTAACCTGAGCTGCATCATTCAGAGGCCTCTCCGAGACTCTCCTGCCGGACACAGCAGGAAGTGATGTCCTTTTGCTGGGGTTTGCACCCTGGTGGTCTGTATGTCTGGGTCTGCAGCATCTCCCCCAAGAGACAAGACGGTGCCATGAGGTTTCTAGAGCATGCACACCTAATGCCAGCTGTGCTCTGGACTTCTCTGTTATGTGAGTCTATGGATTTTTTTTTTTGCTTGCTTATACTAGTTGCAGTATGTAGCCTTTTCAGACTGATTTCTTTCACTTAGCAACATGCATGTCTCTTTGTGACTTGATAGCTCATTTCTTTTTATTGTCAAATAACAGAACACCTTCTATCATCATCAGTATGTACCAGTCATTATTCTAAGTGCTTTATACATATTAATTTATTTAATCCTTACCTATCTTTGTAAGGTAGGTACTAGTAATATCACCATTTTACAGATGAAACAGAGGAGACATGTTACAGGAGAAATGGAACAGAGAGCTTAAGTAACTTGCCCAAAGTGGTGGAACAGGATTTGTGATTTGGCTTTTATAGTCCATGCCCTTACCCGCTATACTAAATTGCTTCGTGCAAAAATGTCTAAAACAGTTTTCAGCATCTAATCTCATTCTGTCAATTCAGTGCCATACTCCCCGACTCTGCCTACTTAAGAGACCTCATACTCATCTTTTAATAAACTTAGTTATGTAAACAGCACAAACTCTCTGACCCAGCACAATATTCCATGTGATGACTTATGATTATTAAATACTGCTGAATAGTGATAGTTTTGATGAGCCTTTGTCATATGCTAGACAGCGCTAAGTACTTTTCAGATACATCATCTTAATTCATATGACAGCCTTTCGAGATGATACAATTATTATCTCAGGAAACTGAGGCTTAAAGAGGTTAAATTACTAGTTCAAGGTGATAGAGCCGAGTGGAAGACTTGGGCCTAGAACCCGCTTGAAATTACTCCCAAATTCGGTCTTGACTGCTTTTAATACTATGTTTTAGTCGATTGAGCTTTCCAAAGTAGCATGCCACTTCTAAAATAACCTGAAAAAATAGGCATATATAAGGATGCCATCTGTATGTGTGAGAACATTATGGCAGTAGTCCTGTAACACGTCACATGTCCCATAGTGACGTTTTAGTCAATGCAGCTCGTATATACAACCGTGGTCCCATGAGATTTGATTTAATGGGGCTGAAAAATCTCCATTGCCCAGTGAAGTCACAGCCACCATCAGGTCGTGGGACAATGAATTGCTCCTGTGTTTGTGTTGATTGCTGGTGCATACACGCCTACTGTGCTGCCAGTCCTATGCAAGTACAGTGGTGTGTATAGGGCATAGTACTTGGAAATGGTAACAAATGACTGTTACTGGTTTATGCATTCATTATTCATACTTTTGAGTCATTATTTGAGGGTGTACACTCTCTACTTATAAAAAAATTGCTATGAAACAGTGTGCTGTGTTACACCAGCAGCAGCCTCATACACCTGGTGTTCACGTCTCGAATGCATGGTTTCTCTTGTGCTTGATTTACTCATGCTGTGCATGCTGCATTGTAGCCTCGCACCAACAGGCTATACCATGAGCCTAGGTGTGTAGTGAGCTATTCCATCTAGGTCTGTGTAAGTGTGCTCTGTGATGTCTGTACGATGACAAAATCACCCGACAGTGCATTTCTCAGAATGTATCTCCGTTGTTAAGTGGCACATGACCGTAACTTTGAAAACAGATTGTTTGGAGAAATGCCTAAATCACCTAAGGTATATCCAACACAAAAGAACACCCAGTTCTTCCCATTTTACAGTTTTAAAAATGGGAAGAACTATATGTATTTAAGATCTTCAAGACAGAAGAGAGTATATATAGAACAATACAGGGTGGGGCACAAAAGCGGGTTTACAGTTGGGGGTGTGCAAAACACAGTTTATTCTTGTGTTGTTAATCATTGTATTACTTTCCATGTGAACAACTGTAAACCTGTGTGCACAGTGGAGCCCCATTTGTGTGAACCAGCCACAGCCGCACTTCGATGCTCAGGCATGTACACGCAGAAAACCACCGGCTGGTCACGTTCGAAAGTCTTAGCAGAGGTTCTCTTTGGGGAGGTAAGTGGAATGGAGAGTGACTGAAAGAGACTTTAAAACTTCTCAATCTATATAATCTTTGTGCTCAAATTTAGTCTACAACATGGAGGTAATCATGTAGTAGTTGTCTAAAAATGTTAAAAGACTTTAAGAACAAACACAAAATATTTACACAGATTACAACAGTGTAAAAATGGAAGTCAGAAACAAGTTTTGAGAAAAAAATAGGTGGCGTTTTATGGTCCCTCCATGGTCCCCCATCTTTAATTAGGTAATGTGCTCTAGTGTAGAAATTAAACCATTAAAAATAAGTGGACAGAATCACACCAAGGAAAATCTGCATGTCTATTTTATTGCCATTAGAAAAATGTTATATAAAATTTTGGTCCACTTTCTTCTTCTTTACCTCTGCCATTCAAACTTAAATCTTTTTTACTCAAGTGAAAGTGGAATCATATGTCTGACATAAGAATGAAATATTTCACAACATTAGATTAAAAAGGACTTAATTGAAGTAGGTATACTCTTTCTTCCTCACATCCAGTCATCTGAGTGCATAAATGAAACTTACAGTATCGGTAACTGGATTCATCTCATTTGCAATTCATGTTCCATTCCCCTTATTACATTATATTTCCATAATACTTCAGCTATTTTAGTCAGTCGTATACTTCCCAATGTCCACTATAAAAATTAAGACATTAATTCAAAAACATTATGAAAACTCCGGACTAAACAGCACTCGGCCCACTTAGAGTGAAGCTGTTGTGAGAGGGCCCTGGACAGCGATGGCTTCGATCTCAACACGGCCTCCCTGTGAGGAAATAGTGAAGCAAGGCCGAGGTCATTTTCAAAAAGTTAATGAGCTCCATAACACCTACTGAAAACATACAGCAATACAGCATCTTTAACGTTAAACTTTTTAAGGATAGGAGAGGGAAATGTTCACTAAGAGCCCATGACAGCCAGGTTACCAGGTTAATCTTGTTCATCACGTGATTCTCACAGCAGCTATTTGACAGACAGGCATGTTCTTTCCTCAATTCCAACTGATACACTGAAGCTTAGAAAGGTTATTTAACCTTTCCCAGGACACAAAGCTACATGAGAGAGGTTCAAACCCACACCTTGTGATTCCAAGTTCAGAGCTCCTTCTATACCCAACACTTTCATAAGTTTGATGATACTGATCATTCCAAGTAACCACCAAGTAAAGGAATTAAAATAACCACTCACAAGCCTGGCTCCATGTATACATGCTCTAAGTAACATCAAACACTACAGCTGCTATTTTACTTCTTTCCCACAATTTAAGTACTCTGATTCTGCTGCATTCATGTGTGGACTTAATTTTTAATTTTCTGAATTTTAAAAATATCTTAAGTTTCTTAATGTTTTTCCCCGTGCATGTAATATTAGGTGTTTCCTTTTAGACTTTAAGTCCCTGGAAAGCTGGGACTATTTATTTTTCTTTTAGAAATTTCCTGCTACACTGCTTAGTGTGTTACATTCGGAAAACAATGTAAAAATTTTAAATTGTGTACATTAGTCATCTTAAAGTGTACTTACCTTGGGCAAAGCAGCAACCTGGTAAGCAGCTCTTGCAGGAAAATTATTCTTGAAGTCTAAATTGAAAAAAATTCTAGTTTTCAGATCCATATTATTACTCGATATTGCATTATCATTTGCATTTCCATAGTCATAATCAAGATCGAAAGTGAGTGCTTCATAGATTTCTCAGTTCTTAGACATAAGCAACACCGAGAAAAATAGGCTTAAATTCATGTGTGCTTGATGAAATATCTTGCTGTAAGGCTCCTGTGATATATTTACTACTTTCTATAATGTCTTAGCTTTCTGGGAAAAAAATGAAAATACATTCTCTGATTCTTTGCCCTTGTTTGATATGAAAAGCATTTTGTTTTAAAGTTATCCTTAGAAAATAATGATCGAAATAGGAAGTAGCTGCCCATCTCCAGCAGTTCTGGCAGGTGCTCACTGCTGACTTCCTCTTACCAGCCAATCCTTCATGCCAGAGTGATGGTGCTTTCCCCACGTTACACTTTGGTCTCACCTCACCGGCTGGCAGGGACACCCGTTTCCCCACTAAGACAACAATGTTAATAGGTAGAGAGAACATTTACTGAGTGCTTACAACATACTGGCATCTGTTCTAACGTGTCGATGTGTTGTATTAGCTCATTTCAGCATTCCAATGCTGAAATTCCCATTTTGCACATGAGGAAATGTTAAGTAACTAACCAGCTAAATGATTCTGAGAGCGCCAGAATAGAGATGGCGGCTAGACCATATCATAGCAATAATACAATCTGTTTGAAAAATATATATATGGAGGGTGTAAACACCTGAGACTGGTGTAACAAGATTAAGCCTCAGGGAAATGGGTTTGTAGGGTTACTGTGTGTTACTCTAGGGAGCACAACATCTATGTCCTGGATCATTCTCACGGAGGCACACTGTATGTGTCCTGCCAGACTACGCATTCTTTTAGGGCAACACCTATGAGAACTTCTTTAGCATCTCCTCTCACCTCCTTAGTTCATAGTGCGCTCTCGTTAAAGTTAATAGATTCCTCTTTAAAATGGAAAATGGTACTGAAGCCAAATTACTTACATTGTTTGTAGATCTCATTGACAGTATTGAAGTCGTTTATGTCAGCCAGCAAAACAGTTGTTTTTACCACTAGAAGATACATTCGTTGTCGTTAGGGTTAGCTATTTGGTCTGATCCAAAAACATTACTTAAAAAAACAGTGTATGTCGATTCCCAGTCAGGGCACAGGCCAGTTCCCAGCAGGGGACACATGAGAGGCAACCATACATTGATGTTTCTCTCCCTCTCTCCTTCCCTTACCCTCCAAAGATAAATAAATAAAACCTTGAAAAACAGTGTATGGTCTATGACTGGCTGTCTTGATTAAAATGGGAGTGAAATTAAAACTTTTAAAAAGCAACAAAGATATGGCATGGCATATTACTGGACACCATGTAAAAAAAAAAGAGCAAAGAAGTATCAAACAGAAATTGCGAAGTGTCAAAGAGCTCACCATTAGTGAAGTCACAGCCTGCAGCTTTGAGAATTTCACCCATGTTTGTGAGAGCCTGTGAACCAAGGAAGGGAAGGCCCAAGGCACTGATGTTACAGTAGAGCTTTAATCAATTCAATAAATCATCTTTCACTAATACCTCCATAAATAACATGTTGCAAAAAAAGTTTCCCTTTTTAGGAAATTCTACTCTTTCTAGGCTACCTCTAAATAAATATGAGATAAATCACACTAGATCCATACAACTAAATTAACATGAAAAGCTCAATTGTTACATGGTGAAATAAAATCAATATGTGAGTAGCAAGCACAGTAAGTTACCACCTGTGTGCGTGTGTGTGTACAGACATTTAAAAAAACTTACTGAGGACACACATTCATGCTGGTACCAGCGCTGACTGTCTCAGGGCTGCACGCACCACTGGTTCTTATACTGACTGTACATAAGGAGCAGTGATGACGGAGACTGGGAAGGGCAAATGGAGTAAGGGTGGGAGACATCTTTCCACCGTACATGCTTTTTGTAGCTTTTGAATTTTTTTTGCCCCATCTATGTATTATCTATTTAAATTATTTTTTAAAGAAAAAATATCATCAGATATTATAATGTGACTAGTAAAGTTGACACAAAGAATGAATTGAAAAAAATAAGGACAGGATGAAAAACTATGTTTTTCCAAAGGCCAGACTGTGAAATACACACACACACAAATTTATGTAAATAAAATTTACTAATATATATTGGGGTTTTTTTTTGAGAAAAAGGGAAAAGAACTCTTTAAAATCAAATATTATTTAAAAGAAAGCATGTTTTAATGCTTGCTTGCTGGCTCCCACTGATGGTACCGAAGCGAATAAAACATTAGGAACCCCAGGAGCTATTTCTGTTTCAGCTTCTTGGATACTGACAACTTCACACATTCCAGCACCGAGAAAACGACTTCGACCCAGGCTTTCTATGTGTGAAAGGAGAAAATGTCTCATCACAGCTTCAGGCAGACTCACCCCACCGGAGGAAAGCCAGGAAGCAGTGCACTTACTATGGGATTAAACTAGCTCCTTATGGGTGGACACTTAGGTTCCTGTCTGTCTTTGGATATTCCAAATGACTCAGTGAATGCATTAAATTATCATTTAATTCTACTTATTGGATTACATTGTATTCCCCAGTCTTATTTAGAAGAACACACTGCATATAATCTTGATAGTTCTCTCTCGCTAACAGGTGTTGACTTTTACTTCTGTGGTTGTGAGGTGGTTTGTGCAGGTCAGTGGCTCTGAAATAAAACTTCCCAATCCTTGTGGAAGTGGCAAGATGTTATCTGCTTTCAATAATTCAGCACTCCGCTGCCAGTTTTAGTGAGGAATAATTGACATAACATTGTATTGGTTTTAGGTACATAACATAATGTGACATAAGTATATATAATGAAATGGTTATCACTGTTTAAGTTTAGTTAATATCCAATAATTCAGTTTTGAAGTCACCTGGGAAAGAACCATCTTTTTTTGTTTGTTTGTTAAATAATTTATTAAATTTCTAAGTTTTTACTGACATACAATTGTCTGAAATCAGTAAGTAAGTTAAAAACCATTTATCTGGTAATCTCTTTAAAGCAAATCAGCCAAGTGGATTTTTAATACTCCTCAATATTAAAAAGTAGGTGCAGAACAAAACTTCGCCTGTGGAAAGTGACTCGCCTGCGTAGCCTCTGCCGCCACCCCTCCCGGCACAAGCTGCCCGCTGGAAGGGTCCATGCCCAGCTGTCCCGAGACGTAAATGGTCCTGTCCACCAGCACAGCCTGACTGCAACGGACAGAAATGCAGTGGACAGAGAAGCATCAACATCAAGTGCACTGCTACAAGATTTCTTTGCTAGGACACAATGAGCACAAAATGTAATATTAAACATTGATAACCGACTCCATTAAAATGGAAAACTTGCCTGTTGAAAAACATCTTAGGAAAATGAAAACACAAGTCACAGACTGGGAGAAAACATCTGCAAAACAAAGGACTTGCACCCAGAATATATAAAGAACTCTTGTAACTCAGTGATACGAAGAAAACTAACCCACTGAAAATGGGCAAATAAAGGGTATCCAGTCTGACTACGTAGTTTTCACCGTTGCTATATGTGCAGCTCTGTCAGTTTCCCACTGATAAGAATCAAGGCCATATTTCTACAGTCTAGTTTAAAGGGAAAAACATTTAAAAATACAATGAAAAAGAGCAGGACAAAACTCATGTATCCTTTGATCTCATGCTGAAGACTGCGTATGTAGGGAGAGGTACGAAGTCATGCTTTTTCCTGTCTGTCAAGGTTCTTGCTGATAGAAGCCAGAAGCCAACCAAGCTGAAGAAGCCTATAAGTCTACCCAGGAAACTACTAAGCTCTGGCTACTAAGTCAGCCAGAAAACATACTGGACCGTGTGAATTGTTTGGATGGGAAGGTGGCTTAATCTGAAAAGGCTGGAACCTTCCTTAAATTTGGTTTTGCCCCAACATGAAAGCCTAATTTTTACAAAATCTTGTGAGCAAAATTAATATGATCAGAGGCCTTGGTGAAGCTCTCTGAACTTTAAATGGTGTGTGACTGGGAGCAGAATGACAAAGGCTCCTTCCAAATGGTATTATTCTCCTAGAATTATCGCCTTTTTTTCTGTAGTCTCTCAAATCAAGGATTTAAAGGAAGTTATGCCATTTTCTTTCAGTATGTAACCAAATGAAATTCTGATGTCTCTTAGTGAAGCTAGTTTCCCTATTTTATCCTTTGAAAGCCTACTGAGGCCATTCAAGAATCCTTGTTTTGCCCTGACTGTGTATGGCTCAGGAGGCTGGGCATCACGCCACAGACCGAAAGGGTACCAGTTCAATTCCCAGTCAAGGCAGGTGTCTGGGGTTTGGGTCAGGTCCCTGGTTGGGGGCATGTAAGAGGGAACCAATAGATGTTTTTCTCCTCTGTCTCCCTCCTTTCCTCTCTTTAAAAATAAATAAAATCTAAAAAAACCTCCTGTTCTGTGAACCCATTTTGGAAACTGTGAAGACCACTGAGAGATAAAACAGTGAAAGGGGCCTGCTGTTGAAAGTGTTGGAGTACCTGGTAACACATCTGGTTACCTGGTAACACATCTGGTTACCTGGTAACACATCTGGTTTTGCTGCTTTGGTGAAGAAGCCCCACTGGTCACTATGAATCATTGCCTTTACATTAGCATCAAAGACTGTGTTACGAAACTCACGAAAGAAGTCTTGAACCAAGGTCATTAAAGTCACACTTTATCCCTTGAATCACTGCCTTGTTAAGAGCTTCTCTGGAGAAATGGGAGTAGAATATAAAGTTGTTTTCTGTTGCAGAAAAGTTCAATGATTCTCTGAGAAACAAGTGTCAATGTGCTGGGAATTCGGATTTCACCAGCTGCTCACATAACTTCACGAGTCGGGGGGGTTCAGAGGCTGCAGCAGCTTACTGGGTTGGTAAAGCCACCGGCACGTTACAAACCATCCTTCCTGTGCCAGCATTTTATTCAAGAGAAATAGTAGTACCCTTCAAATTGAAGTGGATTTTTGTGGAATTAATTTTGTTTGTTTTAAATGTAATGTTCCCTCTAATCCAAGCATCCTTTTTAAATCGGGAGAGTTTAATCTGTTTACATGAATGCATTTATCCATATACTTAAGAGTTAATCTTGTTACCTTATTCTCAACTTTCCTAGTCTCATGCTTTGATTTTTCCTCCTCCTTTCTGACTTCTGAAGTTTTGAGTTGTCCTTATTTCCTAAACTTCTGGTTTGGAAATAAAAAAAACCTTATATTCTTTCTAATTTGTTTATTTCTAATTTAGTAATTACTCCTGCGTCTTTACTACACATTTGCCCTAAACTCCCAAGTTTATCCAGCTTCCTCTGAATAGTACAAGAGAGACTTAAAACTCAGCTCTCCCCCTGGTTATTTCTATTATTTTAGTTCTATTGTGTTTTCACTTAACCTCTTCCCCAACTCCCCAGCCTCCACCTTTGTATATTCTTAGTTGTTTTTTTTTTTTTACAGTCAGGGCTTATTTGATATACTTGCATGATTTTTTTTTGTTACAACACTCCTTATTGAGGTATGTTTCTAGTGTTGTTGTTTTTTTCTTCTCTCCTTCTAGCAGGGGCTTAGAAATTTTTTTCTAACAACTTTTTTGACTTTGATAAAAAATGTCTATTTTGCCCTCATTTTTGAAATAGAATTTAGCGGGACACAGAATTGGAAGTTAGTTTTTCCAGCACTTGGGAGATTTCTGCATGGCCCCTGGCCCCGGTTATTGCTGATGCGACGTCTGCCGTCAGCAATGCCTTGGCTTTCTCGGTGACCTATTCCTTCTCTTTGCCTTTGATGTGCTCTGCACGCTGTACAGTGTGAGGCTCAGGGCACGCAGCACGCTGCCTTCCTGCTTTGACAGGGTCATGGATACAGTTTTCTAGTCCTCCTTTCACCTGCTTCTCACTGTAGCTCTTCTAGGCTCTGTGCAGGCATCTCCTTCCAGGACCTCAAACGTATTCCACCTAAGGCATCATCTTCTAAATGGGAATTTAGAACCCCAGCTCTGAAAGCCTGTACCCAGGTCTTAGATCCTCATGGGCTTCACACATCAGCTCGTTCTTTTGGCTCTGATTCCATTTCTCTGTTTGTTCCTGACACCTGGGGATCTTCCTTTTCATCTTTGCCATTTAAAATGTGTTTAATAGGAGGAGGGAAAAAAGTTAAAGTCTTGAAAATAAGAGTTATTTTCTAATGGAATCAAAGGCTTCTGAAACATGGAGATTTATTTCTCCATCTCAGATTTCCAGTGCTATTATAAATGTTAGTTGAAGTATATCACACGTCCAGAGCTCTAAATCCTTTTGATTGATTAATGGTCTGCTTAGTCCACCAAAGGATCTGAAGTTCTCTTTTCCATATATGTGTAACCCATGGGGTCCCCTGGTGGAGCCATTCCTACACTGGGCACGGGACCCTGCCTCAGGGGATAGAGCTCCGTTCTTCTAACGCCCGGGGTGTGCCAGGCTGCAAGCTCCTAGAAGGCCGGGGCAGTGTCTGGCTGTCTCAGCTGTGCAGGGCCTACGCGATTCCTTACACGTAGTGGGAACACAATAGCTTCTTGTTGACGGTTTGCTCTCTAACCACTTAGCAGCTTGAACAACTTTGGCTGTTAATAAAGTATCTTTTTTGGAAGATGTACTGGCTTTTAGTGTCAGTTTTGGAGAACTGAAGAGGTAAATTTAAACTCAGTAACAGGATTTAGAAAGTGTAGGAATTCTTCGCCACCATCTGGCTTTCACCCTAGCCCACAAATAGATAACTGTTGAATTTGTTAATGTGTCAGCTTGTCTCAGGGCGATCGGTACCATCAGCTAACACTTTCTATTAACTGTTCTGGGTAGAATTGGCTACGGGTGGCCCTTTGAAAAGTACCTTTAACTCTCCCCATAGTTCAAGCCCATATGCATTATCCTTGGTCAAAAAAAAATTTTTTTTTTACCATAAAAGGGAACTCATCTGAGAAAATTAAAACTAAGCCCTAGAACTTTGACAGTATCTAAGCTAAGTGAGTTAACTCTTGTAAATTAATAGAGACTGTTCACAAAAATAATGGAATAGTTGACCCTTCCTGAGCATAAGAATCCTACTAACCATAGACAAGTCATTAGGCTCCAGAAAATTTAACATGCATTACTCTACTTACAGGTCAAAGGGTAATAATAATCTTCAAAAACATCTAGTAGTAATTCTCACATCATAACTTATGCCACATGGACTAGCACTTCAGATTTGTATGACTATTTGCATGTGTGCTAGGGAAATGGAAAGCAACATAATAGCAACGTGATGTCAAAATCTCTCAAGGTTCTGTCCTGGGTGTCCCTGAAATGTGCTGAGCTGATTAGCTAATTAGTGACAACACCCCATCTATCCTGATGCCAGGGACTGAAAGTTCAACACATTTGAACTCCTCCTGGAGAAGACCCAGAATTCTCGAAAGTTAACTAACTACAAACTCCATGCACACACAAAAAATCATTTCCAAGTGGTTATAAAATGTCTAATTCACTCTATCGGGATACCAGTAGGTAGTTGGAATGTGTTTCTTTCTTCACAGAATATTGAAAATTAATACCACTGCCAGTGACCTTGTATCACCTTTGAACACAGAAAAGCACAAGAGGCACCAGGTCCTGAAGTCTCCCCACAATGAAGCTGACGGTTGCCCCTTGTCATGCTGGCATATTCATGTTTGCCTTCTTTTGTGCTTGCAGCTTTACTGTGATAGTTGAGCCCCACCTCCGGGTCAACCAGGGATATTACACTCATGCTTGTTTTCTTGAACAAACTACGTACTGGAGGAAGGCACACGCTCCAGGCTCTGTAATCACTTTGCTTTATAAAAAGTTAAGGGTCACTTTTGTTCTGAGGTAAGACCACTGGGCAGAAGAAGTAAAAAAGAGCACTGATTTTTAGTTTTATTGTAATGTTCCCTTAACTAGTCTTAACGTTTTCTCAAAGGACTATCAGAATTTTCTTCCTAAAAAGGATCTGATCATGTCACTTTTGCTTCAAAAACATTTGATGACTCCTCACTGCATAAAGAATGAAGTTTATACTCTTTTAGTTTATCACTGGTAGCCATAACAATCCAGACTTTGCTAAAAGCTAATTTTTAGCAAGAGGCAAAACAAAAAAAATTCAAAGTCCAACTCCTAACCAGTGTTTCTCAAAGTGTGTGTCACACACCAACACTGAACCACAGTAAGGAATCAATTTCTTTCAATTCTCTCACCATCTGAAAAATGGGGACTGGAATAGCAACTGCATACAAAGCACTTAGAACAGTGTCTAAGGCTGAGTAAGCATCCATAAATGTTAGCAATTAGGACTTCAATCCTCTGATTACATGGAGAAAAATCATCATTTTTAGAAAACAAGCCTAGAAGTGAAAAGAAACCTATCACTTTTAACAAAGAGAGCACAGGTCTTGGGTTCTGAACCAACTGCAGGATCTGGCTAGAGTTCAGTAGTTGTTTATTTACTTGAGGGTTTGTTTTTCACAGTTGCCTTCTCTTGGGTTGGTTTCTATTTAAAGTACTGTTGTGAAGTTTTCTTTTTAAACTTGTTACAGTGAGCCATCTCAAAAAAAAAAGTGTTAAGTAAGTTAAAATAAAGGTAGTAAAGAGATTTGGCAAGTGAAAAAAAAGTAAAATTGGCACTCAGATTACCAAAACTTCCTCCTGAAAATCTTTCTGCCATGTATTCCTCTACCTCTGTGCCTCAAGTCATTCCCTCTGCCTGGGACACCCTTCACCCCACGACTTCTTGTTGAAGTCCTTAACCAAGTACAGTTGACCCTTGACCCACCCAACCCCCACAACAGCAGAAAATCCACATGGAACTTTTGACTTCCCAAAACCTTTACTAACAGCGTACTGTTGACCAAAAGAAGCTTTGCTGATAACAAATGATTGACACCTATTTTGTGTAAGTACTCTATACCGTATTTTTACAATCAAGTAAGCTAGAGAAAAGGTTATTAGGCAAATCATAAGGAAAATACATTTACAGTATTGAAAAAAAGCTGCGTATTAGTGGACCCACGAAGTTCAACCCATGTTTTTCTTTCTTCTTTAAAGATTTGTTTATTTATTTATTTTTAGAGAGAGGAAGGGAGGGAGAAAGAAAGGGAGGGAAACATCAGTGTGTGGTTGTCTCTCACATTCCCCCTTGGTGTGTAGGTTGGCACTCAATCCACTGAGCCACACCAGTCAGGGCCAACCTATGGTTTTCAAGGGTGAACTATATTTTAAAAATCAAACTTTACAGCAATATTGTAAGTGGCAGATTCAACCTTCAAAACCCAAATCAAGGACTACCTCTCACGAAGAGCCTTTCTAAATCTTTTTCTTCCTCTGCCCTAAGTTATCAATTTCTTTTCCTCTTTTGCTACCCCCACTCCCCACCTGGTACTCCTCACACCCTTTGCATTTTATTTCTAATCCTATTATAACAATTACTATTCTGCCACATATAAGTGCTATTTTTCATGACACCGTGGTGTAGAGGGAGCGAGGCCCTGTTCAGACAAGTTCTGTTACTTTCACTTAACAGAAGTTCATTCTGAACTTGTTTTCTTCTTACAAAATGGGGATGGTATTTAGAGAAGAAGGTGGTTCTCACAGTGCCTGCCATAGCAAGCACTACATTAAAATGTTTCTTTTTTGATTTCTTATACACTTTTGTACTCCTTGAAGGGCTTGGTGGATGGTAGCTACTCAATGCATGTCTGTCATAGCTCAAGAGTTCCAGCTGTCATTCTTTAAACAGTGAACAGACACTATAGAGTATTTTAAAAAGACAAAATAGAAAAAGGTTACAGGATATACTTTAGAGGAGAAGTAAAAACAAAAATTACATTAGGAAAATAAAAATATACAAGAATACATATAAGATCCAATAGTTTTAAAGCCGAGACATCTTAAAGAAAATAAAGCCTTTTTAAAAAGGAATTAACTTTTCTACCTAGCAGCACTTCTGACAAAGTGGAAATGCACACAGGATAGACGCTCTGGCCAGGATGCATATATTTAGCTATAGCATGTGGGGTGATCTTAGAAATTATCTTCATTATGATTCATATTGGACTTTGTTAGAGGGGAATAAGCATGAGCAAATGAATTAATAATCCCAAAACGTGTATATGGGCTGTAAAAACTTGTGTCTTGAGTAGATGCGCAGGGATTTGCTAAGCACCTGTGGATGGGATTTACTCCTTTGAGTGAAAAGAGGGTTAGCCAAACATTATGCTAAGTTGGTGACTTTCAACCAGTGTGCTGCAAGAATTTTAAAAACATGCAATACGTGACTGTTTAGTCAGGGGCACTGACGTCCTTTCCCTTAGATTGTCAAATAAAAAGTGACAATAGCCAACACAACCGCCGTCTGGTGTAAATGAATAAATTATACCTATTTTTTTTTGTCAGATTGGCAAAAACTATATATTTTTTGGTGTGCTGCAGAACTTAAATAATCAGTTAAGTGTGTCATGAGATGAAAGAGATTGAAAATCGTTGTACTAAGTGAAAGAAGTCAATTACCAAGCACCACATATTGTAGAAATCCATTTACTACAGGAAATGTCCAGAACAGGCAAATCCATAGAGAGGCACAGGAGATTAGTGGTTTGCGGAGGCTGGGGAAAGAGGTGGACGGGGTAATAAAATGTTCGGAGGTTACGTAGCGGCTGCACTGCTCTGTGAGTATAGTAAAAACTGCTGAATTGTACACTTTAAAGGGCTGGATTTTGGGTGTATGCGAATTATAGCGCAAGAAAGCTATAATTAGCCCATCCCTTAAAAAGGGGGGAAAAAGTTAAAAAACAGATCAGTTCTAAGAGGAAGTGGAACTTTTCTGGCTGGCTACATAGCCAGACACCCCTGGTCCGGGCAAAATCCCTGAGCGCGCAGGGTCCACATCCTATTGTGCTAACTCACTGTGGGTATTCGGGTGCGTTGCACCCTTTCTCGGGTTAGCTTCCTCGCGTACTTGATGAGGTTGGAGGATGAATCCTGAAGCCCACTTCAGCTCTGATCCCAGGTGGTCAGTCCCGAGCCCGACCCCGCACCCCAGGGGTCCACCCGCGCTACACAAGCCTAGTTACCTGTAGGGACCAATGGCCGCTGGAGCTCTCGAGGTGCTGATCACCTTTCTGATTAAGGACGCCATGGCTAAACCTTATCTCCTCAGGCCCCTAGGCGAGAATGATCCCGTACGCTAGCACCACTAGTGTCCCAACCAGCCGAGCCCGCGGCAGGCCCAGCAGAAACACGTGACGGGGGGGGCGGTTCGCGCAGCATTCTGGGAGTTGTAGTCTTTCCGCGGGTCCCGGCCACGTGCAGACTGTGACCGCAGTGGCGCATGCGTCCTCCAGCTCGCTCGCAGCGCTAGTCTTTTTGGAGGGGGTTGTGGCAGAATCTTGTCATTCTGTCCTGGGAAGCTTTGGCTTTCCCCCGCAGTGCGTCAGGCAGGTAGGTCGTGAGGGGCTGGTGTTCACTAGGGGAGTGTGTTTGTGTGTCGGCCCCCAACCTGATTTCCGCGCCCCGCGCCACTGACCCCGATCCTGTGGACCCTCTCTTTCCTCTTTTCTCCTTGTTTTCTGCTCCTGGGCTCTTCTGGCCGCCTCGCCCCTCCTTTGGCCCCTGCTGTCCACCTCCTTTAGTCTTTCTTTTTGCTATATTGCCACACCCGAGGGAGGCCATTCTCGGATTGGGCTTGTCACCCGCCCCACAAGCCCTTATACCTTAACGCAGCCATTTTCAACCTTTTTCATCTTATGGCACACATAACCTAATTACTAAAATTCTGTGCCACACCAAAAATATATTATCTTTTTTGCCTGACAAAAACAGGTATAATTTTGATTGATTCATATCCGACTCCTGTTGTCTGCTGTCATTTTTTTGTTTGACGAACTACTGATTGACAATCTAAGGCAAAAGAGGTCCGTGCCCCTGACTAAAAAATCATGTATTGCATGTTTTAAAATATCTTGTGGCGCTCGGGTTGAAACTCGCTGCCCTAAAGCAGTAAGATGGGTCATTCTGGGGACGACCAAGCTGAGATCAGAGCATTTTCCACCTCCCAGCCCCTCCCTTGTTCCCTTCTCTGGTGCTTCTGGAGCTTTTAGAGATCTTTATTCTTCCCTTTTAACTTGAGTTGAGCCCTTAGTGACTGGGATCTGATTTCAAAAAGGAAGATACTGGTCTTGATCCAGCAGCTGGCCCCAGGGCTGGTCTCCTGGCAGATACTCAGTCCTGCTGTGTCAGAAGAGGTGGTATTTGGCTAAATATTTTTAATTTTGTTATAATGCACTATAGCACGCTTCACTTCTTCATTTATGTGTGCACATGGACCTTTTAGAAATAGATGTTGAGCCCCTACTTTGTGCAAGGCACTGGGCTGGGTGCTGGAGATGCAGTAGTGAAAAGGACAGACAGATAAGATCCCAGTCCTGCCCTGCTTCTAAAATGTAATACTGTAAGAAAATCCTGTTTATCCCTCCTCATTCAACATACTACTAAGATTTTGGCTTTCCTACTTCTGGCTCAAGAACTTTCAGAGCTTTCCCCTTTTTTCACAATGTCATCTAGTACAGTTGTTGAAGTATTTATGTACAGGAAATACATATTATTAAAATTTCGGTTTAGTTCTTTACATTATAGTTGGGGGCATATTGTAGGACATGTACTGATAACAGTTGTATGTCTGGTAGGTTTCGTTATTGTGAATTTTATTTCAAGATAAAAAAACAAGTGTTTGAAACTACTGAGAAAGAAAGGCGGATGTCAAATTTGAGAATTGAGAATTACTAAGTAAATCCATCAGGCTCCGCCAGTTTTTTGTTCTTTAGCCTTCCTTCAAATAGAAATCTTTTGCTATTACAAATTAAAGGAAGGTGCAGCTGGCCTCATCTCAGTAGTAGAAATGAAAACATCAATAATTTGTGTTCAGTTTTTGTGCATGTTATCATATCAGAATAGTGTGTTGTATATTTCATTTGATTCCAGTTCATGAGTCCAGCTCATGTTCACCTAAGAATTTTTATTAAATGTTTTTGCTAATTTAATTTTATCATGGCATAGGGAATCTTACCTCTTACCACATTTTTCATTCTTTCAATGGACTTTTTGCAGTGTCAACATTGGTACATGACTTTATTTGGCCATGCAAACTGGAATGTACTAATGTAGTCTCTTCCAGCAATAGAATTATTTTTTTCTATTGAATCATGTTTTTTGGTGTTAATACCATGTATGGCTCCCCAAGAGATTGCTCTGGTTATGAATTCCTGCTGTAAATCAATATTATGATAGTGATATTATGATACCATTGTTATGTCATTGATCTACCTATAGTGAAGATTTATTATATATTGAGTTGCCTGAATATTTATTATATTTTTATTTTTGAGTGGAAATTCCCTTCCCCTATTCTAAATTTATTAATTTCTTTCCAGAGATGTCTAATGCAAAAGAAAGAAAACATGCTAAGAAAATGAGAAACCAGCCCACTAACGTGACCTTATCCTCTGGCTTTGTGGCTGACAGAGGAGTAAAGCACCACAATGGAGGTGGAAAAGCTTTCCGAGCTCCAAAACTAGGTAAGACACTCAGTGCTCTCTCCACTCCCACTGGAGCAAATTGCTTCCTTTTGATGGTCATTATCTAAATAGTACATGAGTTGAGTTAAGAACAGGTAACAGTTAGTTGACCTTTACTATTTGCAAATTCACCTAGTTGCAAAAGTTTGTTTGTAACCCCCAAATTAATGCTATGACACTTTGGCCATCATTTGTAGACATGTGCAGAATAGGGGGGAATTCAGTTCACCCCATGTGGACATTTCCAGCTGCGTTCTCGTGTCAGCTCTCATGCAGAGCCGACTGGAGGATGGGGACTGAGACGATGGGTGGGCAGTGCAGCGCAGTGCAGGAAGCTCTGGCTCTGGCTGGGGTTCGATTTCCAGCTGTGGGGTGACCTTAGGTCACTTAACACTTCTGAACCTGGTTTTTGTTTTTTTTTTTGTAAAATAGAGGAAATAGAATCTACCAGGATGAGTTGTTTTTATAATTTCAAATTGCAGTGTATGGGATGTATGAATGTATGTATGTCTCTAGAAACAGTGGTTCAGTATTGCGACTTTTTAGAAAATAACTATTGGGAATGAGAATTGGTTATCTGTTTTTTAGAGTTGAAATATTTTGTGTCTCCCTTGATCAATTATTATTAAATTATACTTCTGTATTTCCTAAAAATAACTAGTGCAGTTATCTTGATTTAATCAGAGTGCTGGTTTTAGAACCTCATAAAGTAATATGAAGGTGATATTGTTCATTGAGCAGCAGTAGAAAATGCCGGGGGGGGGGGGAATGACAGCAAGCAGGGGACCAATACCTTTTTGGGAACTTGGAAGAATAGTGTGCATTGTGTCTGACAAAATATGTTTTAGATTCCTATTCATAAGATCTAGATTCAGATCCAACAGTTGATGCCTACCATGCCATATGATAAACCTTAACATGTTATCTTAAACCTTGCAGTGACATGTTTTGTAACATGCTTCATATTTGTAGGGGCTTAATAATTAGCACCATAATGGAAGTAAGCAGGAGTCCATAACATTCTCTACTGATCTTTCCATTTGCACACAAGGACTTGGAGTCAGAATGGTTTGAATGTCCAGGCTTTTGTATAGAGATTTTGCTTTTATTTCTTATTTCAAATTTAGCATGGGCTCCAACCTCAGTGTGCCAGAGAATGACAATAAAAGACTGAATATACAAAGTCATGTGGGCTGTAGTACTTCAAGGGGGTTTGATTTAAAATTCATGTTGCATTATTTATCTGGAGAAAAGTTCCCTTGTGTCAGTCACACCCAGGATTCTTTCATGTGTCATACCGAGGTGATTAGTGTGCTGCTTATTAGCTGTGTCATCTCCTCCAGCAAGTTAATGCACCTTTCTGCCATTCCCCCTCCTCGGGAAAGGGAGGGCCGTAATGGCCATGTTACAGGGTGGTTATAGGACTGAAAACATGATCGCTGTTTCCACCCAACAAATATTCTCTGTTCCCGATAAGGGTGACATATTTCTTTCTTTTTCTTAATATTCTAGATCCTTTTGCTGGAACTGCACTAGCACGGCAAACCAAAATGGCCCACTATTCACCACCTGAGCCTGATGGGAGTGAGCAGTCTTCCTCCAGAGTAACGTTTAAGAAAAAGGGAGGCTGGAAAGCAGGTCCTGAGGGCACGTCGCAGGAGATTCCCAAGTACATAACAGGTAGGTATTTGTATGGCGGTGAGGCTGGATTGTACTGCAAGCTCTTCATTTCTAATGCCGCCAGATTTCTAATGCCCTCTGTGTGCCTTGGCCCTGCCTGCTGGGACCTCTCCTCCTTTTGCTCCAGGCCCTTCTCACCTCCAGTGTTCAGGCTTAGGCCTGATTGCTCTCCCTTCTTTAATTTCTCTCCTTTTTTTTATAGTTCTTATTTGTGAACTCTTCCACTTGGATTTAAAATCTTCTTCCCTCCCCCTTTTAAACATGTAAAATGCAGTTTACACTCCTCAGCATGGCATTTCCAGGGATGAAAGCACCGTAAAGGCAGCACAGCCCTGGCTGTGTGCTCAGCTGGTTGGGGCGTCATCCTGTGCACCAGGGGTTGTGGGTTTGATTTCTGGTCAGGGCACATGCAGGAGGCAACCAATAGACGTTTCTCTCTCATGTCACTGTTTTTCTCTCTCTTCCTTTCTCTCTAAAATCAGTAAACACATCCTCAGGTGAGGACTAAAGGCAATCCAGACCTTTAAGTACCTGTCTCTGGGTCGTTTCACCTGGCATCTACCTCATCACTTTTACCCCTGCTACTGCATGACCCCGTATTCCTCGTACACACCTTAGGGGGGCCTTCTGGTCTCTCTTTATACCTTCTTGGGGGAATTCACTTAAATTTCCCCAGCGGTCTATTTGTTTAAAGAAGTAGTTTTCAATAAAGAAAACTAATAATAGTTATGGTCACATATTTGGAAAATATTAAGGAAAAAAACACTTGGAGTCAAGATCATTTTAAAAATTTTGGGTTTTTTTTTCATTGTTTTTTTCCTTTGTGTTTTTTGTCTTTTTGTTTTTGTTTTTTTCGTGTACAGAAATCGTGAGTGAACTTTTTTTGTTCTATGATTATTTTACTTAAAAAATGGTTGTCATTTTGCAGTGTAGCTCTCTGTTTTAAAAAGCTTTTCGTAATCTTGACACTTCTTTTTTAAAAGA